TCTGTTGCTACCTTTCAGGTGTTTGTGGGCTTGTATGCTCTCCTTACTTTGCAGTTTCTCTTCTACCGTGGACATATATGTTGCTCTATCGGCTTCACTTAAAAAAAATACAAAGTCAGTTCTTCGGGGAAAAAAACCCCACAACCCCCCCCCCTTGTTCCTATCATACAACACCTAGATGTACAAAGGAATATTATATGCTGAAAGGCATGAAGAATTTCAATTTATCCATATCTGTGAAATACAAACTTAAAGATGGAAGAGCTGGAGTTAAAAAAAAAAAAAAAGCACTGCAAACTTCTATTGTCTTCTTTCTCTATGCCATTCTTTCACTTTAAAATGAATGAAGACCCTTATTAGGATTGCAATTTGAAATAAGGGTAAAAGCTGTAGCTAAGTGTCAAACTTTGTTACCAAGAGAACTCTGCAACCTGGAGTTTGAATGGGAAATGCTGATACAACCATAACAACGGCATCAGGACGAGGTGCAGTAGCTATTAGAAACCAGAATCCATGTCCAGACAATCAAAAAAGGAGATAAAATCTAGCACTTTCATTTACAAAGCAGTCTGGGCTATTTGTTTAATATATCAAATATACCTAGAGAGACGTATACATATATGGTAGGTGTAAATGTACAGATCACTGGCTCTTGGGTTTTACGTTTCTCTTTCTTACATCAAGCTATCTGATTGCATTTTGGATGTTTTAAGGGATTGTTCTTTCAGACACCGGGCGTAAAGCTCCCTCTGTTTCATTCCACTTTATTTGTGTATTCCCCTCCCTAAAACTTGTCTGGTTTACTACCGCACTAAATACTATGTGCATTGCTTTCAGACAAGCAAACCTTATGTTTCAATTACGGAGGAGTTTATTCAGCACCTGTATTTACTTGGGGCCCTTTTCAACTAAATTGTCATCTCCCAAAGTCTTTATATATGTATGGATATGTATGTGTATATATATCCACACACACACACTCACATATTTCATATTTGGTATATATACACATAAATTTATATCTAACTGCAGTGCATGATAATTTAACAGCCATTGTCATTACACCTTTGAATTTCTCAGATAGCCTAAAAGAGCTCTCATGCTGAGACTTAACAAGGATTATATTTTCTTCTATCTATCTATCTATCTATCTATCTATCTATCTATCTATCTATCTATCTATCTATCTATCTATCTATCTTAAGAGGAGAAAACATAATGAATAGAAGCTTTGTGAACCTGTATCCCAGGTGTCTGAAATTCACAGTTAGGCATGGTGAGAGAAGAGAGTATATCTAACATGGGCTATAAAAAGTGATTTTTTTTGTTTTGTTTTTGGTATAGCATCTTGCTGGTTCATTTACTGATTCCTTGAGTGAGGTGCAGTTCATCTGGAGACATCACCCTAACAAGGGGGGTCCCATGGGGCTGTTCTGGGAGTTGTTATTTATTACTGCAATCATTCAGAGGAGCTTTGAAAGGACAGTGCAGCTTGCAAGATGACCTACTGCCTCTTGCTTTCCCATGGCATACAACTCCATTCTTGAAGTACACCGACCCGCCTGCGTTTCCCCAAATCTGAGTTCTGTGTGGGATGCGCAGATCGGGTCTGACTTCCTAAACAGGGTATTACGAGGACCTGCATGTTTCGAATTAAAACACATTCTAGGCCTTGGGAACAAGTATGCACGGGTAGAAAAGGCTGCTCAATCCTACTGGGACAGCCCTATATTTAGATTGCATTAATTCATAAATATTATACTAAATACCACTTAAATTGGCCTTAAATGACTTCAAAGATAATGCATGATAATATGGCTGTCCTGAGAGCACTAACCTTTATGTCCCCCAGTAACTCAGCCTTTAAGCATCCACCACTGCTAGACAAGGGGGAAGTTGTGAATGAAGGGCTGCCTGGATTGTACTCGTATGATTAGTGAACTCCAGCAGTGTGACAGCGCCTGGGTGGGTCAGCTTGGTCCCTGCCCGCAGAGCGGCCACACAACGCTCTCCCTGCCATGAGACAAAGTACCCCAGGATGGATGTGCTCCTGCCCCAGCTGGGGATCATGGGAAGGATGGAAGAGCTGAGGACAGAGCACTGGAGCCCCTTTTCCCCCCTGAGATCAGGCAGCTCCCAATACCCCCCTCCTTTCCCCCTCCCCATGTGCCTGCCTAACCAATGCATGTCCCTGAAGCATCCTGGGCTGTGACACTGTTGCAGAATCTGGGAGTTTGTGGGCCTTTTGGATGGATCCTTTCAGCAGACTTGACCTTCAGATCCTATATTTGCAACCCCCTCCCCCCCCGTTTTGCAGAAGCCCCCCTTTCTCCTCTCATAGGCTCCTTATATTAATCCCCAAGACACACTCATCCTAGCCATGCTTTGCAGTGGCTTTACACCTGATCTAACTCTGGTCTGCACTGTCTCACTCCGGGCTCACTCCTTGTTGCAGTAGGATGCCGACTGTATACAACACAAGGGGAATCAACCACAGCCCCCCAGCCCCCTGCCTAGGTACACCTCCAAGGTTTCTCTAGATCTGAAAATGAAACCAGCTAAAGAGATCAAGGCTTAACCATCGGCTTGGAAAGCATGGATAGGGGGGAGCACCCCCCCACACCTGAGACCTGTACTCTGCCTCCACAAATCCACACAAGAAGTGGGGGAAGAAATATATTTCTGTGCCCGGCGGATTGAGAAAAGAACATCTAAAAAGAAAAGAAAAGGGGGGTAGGGGCAATTACAGAGAGAGAGAGATCACCAAAAGCCAGACACGGCCCCTATCCTTCAAAGCCCTGGTTTTTGACTTAATAGTAATTAATCACTGGTGGGAAGAAAGTTTTTTTTTGTTTTTTTTTTCCCGCTCCCCCAGCTAGCCAGAGGCACATTTTTATCAGGATTAGCTAATAAATCAGCCGCATCCAACTCTTCTTGGAAGGGCTAAATAAAACGGCTCTCTCCAACGCCGGCATGTCTTTGCAAGCCCCACTCCAACCCTAGCTTCGCTCCATCAGAGCATCCATCAGCACCATCATTTTCTCCCCCTCTTCCCAAGTCCCGAAGTTGTAGCACGCTCCAAATGAATCCGCTTTCTAGACAAACTGGGGTGATGGGCTGGGCAGATCCCCCCTCCTCCTGCCTCTGCTGGGGTGGCAGCTCGGGGAGGGAGGGGAGTGGAGTGGCTTGCTAATTTGCAGGGGTATTTGCTACACATATTCAGGCGAGATAAAGGAGGTCTCCCTCTCTTCTCCCCCTCGGAGTGTGCGCGCCTGTGAATACAGACACACACATCCACGCGCTCCTTTTCCACAGCCACACTCCCCAAAACGGCGGCGTGAGTGGAGAAGAAAAGGGAACCTCCACAAAACACATAGAAATTAAAGTTTGCCCGAGGCTAGAATAATTACGGGACTAAGAGGAGAGAAGTCTCTGCCTGGCTCCCAGCTCCGACCGTCGCCTCCTCTCTGCCTGGCATTCAGGTGACTCTGTTTGGCAAAGTTTATTACGATTCCGACTAATTATCTCAAGAAAAACCTCCAGTCGTTCACACCTCCCCGCCCTGCCCATTGCAGCTACGCCCCGGCTCTTAGGCAAAGCCTCCGGGGTTGTCACCTTCCTTGGGCGTAATTTGCTTCGAGGGTTTCTGCAAGGGTTGAACATCACACACGCCCCTTCGTGGGGCTTTCTAGGAAGCTAAAGGGGGGAAAGGTGCTGGTGGGTGATACCCATCCCCGGCCTGGGAGGAGGAGGTGGGGGGCTGGAGAGGGGGGATGTCTCCCGGAACTTCTCACTCATCCCTAGTGTCCCCGATCGGGGGTATTTGTAGTTGGAGACATCCTGGTTTGTCCCCTTTTGGGGGTGTGTGTGTGTGCCGGGGCTTGACTTCTGACCATGCCATTAACTTTCAGATTTACAGCTCGCCAGGCGATCTGCAAAGACGTGAAGCCACTGCTGCTCTCGCTCCGAGGAGCCTGACTTGGGGCTGCTATTTGAAGCCGTCGGGTTAGTCGAGAGAAGTTTCCCTCGCCCTGGCTGCCAAGGCGATGCTGCCCGCCCAGCTGCGGCGGCTGGGATGCCAGGAGTGGCCCTCTTGGAAAGGGCATGGCAATGCCCTCGCCACACAGCTGTGTCCGGAGAGTTAGCAAAGTGCCTGGCTTGGGCTGCGAGCGGCTGTGCCATGGCCATCACCTCCAACTTCCTCACTTGAGTGCTACTTTCCTGCGTGGCGATCCATCGACTTGCAAGCATGATCCCCCCCTCTGCCTCCCCCCACCCCACCCCGCACTCAACGCTTTGCATCCTATGCCTCTCAACTCCACATCCCTTCCCTACAGCTGGCATCCTCGCAGGGTGGCTACACACGGAGGGAGAGCTGGAAATAATCATGCCCAAAACAAAACAAAAAAAAAGACCCAAAAGTTCCTGCTTTCCTCCAGCCCAATGGACCAGGCAGGCTAAAGTAGTATCTGAAGCTCTGCATGCCCGGAGGAGGAAAACACCACCAACCACCCCCTGCATGCATTTACCCCCCATAGCCATTCCCCCTCCAGCATTTTTTTTTTAAATATTATTTTTATTTTTTTTTTCCTCCCAGGCTTGAATCATCAGTATCAGCTGGAAGGGGGACTGGGAAAAAAAAAACCCCACCGGTGTCTCGGAAACAATAGTTGGGGCAGGAGGTGGGAGCGTGCAGCCTGCGGAGGGAGAGCAGGAAGCCCGGGAGTGGTTTCAGCACCCGCGCTCCGTGGACAGCTCCCCACGGCCACCCGGACCCCGGCGGCTGCATCCTCCTCCCAGGGCATCCCTCCAGCAGGCTGGGGGCAGCCCCCGTCTCCCCCCCATCCCCACCTTTGCAAGAAATAAACAGAAGTCCCTTGGCAGAAATAATAATAATTAAAAAAAAGAAAAAGAAAAAAAAAAAAAAAAAAAAAAAAAAAAAAAGAGAGAAGTCCCCTTCCTCTCCCGATCCGGCCCGGAAAAGTTGGAGGCTAGCCCACCTTTGTGCATCCCAGTGAACCTGTCCTTCAGCACCGTCAGTTCATAGATCTTCCCGAACTCCTCGAAGAGAGGTTTGAGGTCTTTCTCGTCCAGGTTGCGGGGGATCTGCCCAATAAAGAGCTTAATGGCATCGTGGTCCTTCATGGGGATGGTGGATGGGTTTCCGGGACTATGGTTTAATCCGTTCATATGCCCGTTGGTACTGGGGTTGCTGTGATTGCTACTCAGGCTGGTATTGTCTGGTTGTCCGTTTGCTAACGTGGCCATCTTTATATACATAGAGAAAATCTTCTTTCCTTTTTCCCCCCTCTTCTTTTCTCTCTCTCCCTCGCTCCCTCTTTCACACACACGCGCACACACACACTCC